CCCCAATTTCTTAGGTGTTAATAATTTAAACATAACCATTATACAACAAAATTTGGAATATATTTTTCTTATCATCTCTTTAATCCACTGACTTTGTTTTTGTTCATCTTCACCCAAGGATATTTTTCCATTGAATTTTAGAGAGAGTGAAGGGAAAGGGAGAGACACATTGATTGGTTGCCTCCTGCACATGCTTTGATAGGGACTGGGGATCAAGCCAGCAACTGAGGTACATGCCCTTGACTGGAATTGAACCTGGGACCCTTCAGTCCATGGGCTAATGCTCTATCCACTGAGAAAAACAGGCTGCAGCTTAATTCATTTACTTCTAATCTATATGTGTCTTTATATTTAAAGTGGGTTTTGTTTTTGATTCACCCTGCCAGCTGATAGGGGCTTCTGGGGTGGGTGTGCCCTGCCGCCGCGGGAACTGCTGATGGTTGTAGGCCGGGCTCAGCTCAAACTGAACTTGATCCTCGGGCAGCCCGCCCGGGAGGGCACTGCAGCAGCAGAGACACCTCGGGGTCCATGGTCTGGACAGGGCAGCTCTGGGGAAGGTCACAGCCAGGCCTATCACCCTGGGGGACCTAGAGCCACCCACAGACCTACTGAGGATCCCCACCCCCCCAGCCCTTTAGCACCCCCCTGGACAGTTAAGTGTCTTACCATCCAACAGGTGCCCCAGACTCCAGCTGCCAGACGTCCCAGGGACTCCCGGGCATCCCTACCACCCGAGGCCCTGGGTCCAGTCCCCCCAATGTCCACATCTCCCAAACCCAGGGGTCAGGGGCCCCTCCTAGGGTGCAGAAGCTCCAGCCTCCAGCAGGTACTCACCGCCACTTCAGCCCACAGTCCCCGCCCCTTTCCCCAACCGGAAGTGCCCACCCCTCTTGCCCGGGCTTCTCAGGGGCCAGCTTCGGGGCTGGGAGTCCACAGTGCGGCAGCTCTGCCTGGGGAGTCAGGGAGCTCACTCCTCTCTCTGGCCCTCCCACATCTTCTGCCCTGGGATCTGGGACACTGGCCCCACCTCCTTGGGCCCAAGCCTGGCCCGGAGCGTGGGGCTCGGCTCACCTGGGCCCCGTGGCTGACAGTGTGACCTGGGCAGGTCTTGCCTGCTGGGCCTCGGTGTCCTCTCTGCACCAGGGCTTGGGGTGGGACGTGAATGGCCCCGTCCTGAGGCTGTGGCTTTCTGGGCGGATTGGAGTCATGTGAGGTCCTTAATAGTCCCCACTTGCCACTGCGCCCCCAGGTTTTGGCCGTGAACTCTGGAGAGAGGAAGCTGGAAGCAGCAGGGCCCAGAGGCAGAAGGGACCAGGTGCGCCCCTGCCATCCTGCGTGTCCTGCTGCCACGGAGCTGCAGATCTCAGGATCTTGGGTCCCATGGCAGCAGGGCAGCCAGTTGCTGGGGGCTTCTGGGGTGGGCGTGCCCTGCCTCCACGAAACCCGCCAATCTCAGGTCCCGTGGTGGCAAGGCAAGACCAGCTGCTGGGGCTTCTGGGGTGGTGTGCCTTCCCAGCGGCCGGCCTGCCCTGGATGGCGGCATGCTGGCAGTTGGCACTGTCTCGCCCTGCCTGCAGTATGCAAATTAGCCGCCATCTTTGTTGGCGGTTAATTTGCATATCACACTGATTAGCCAATGGGAAGCTAGCGAAGGTATGGTCAATTACCCTTTTTGTCTTTTATTAGATAGGTTAGTAGGCTGTAGTAGTTTACAAAGCAAATTCCTTCTCTTGTTTTCATCCTCATATCAATGGTACAGGCAGATATTATTACTTCAGTTTTATGTAAGCAGAGGCTGAGGCTCAGAGAAGGTGATGAACCTGCCTAAGACACACTACTTGTGAGTGGGAGAGCCAGGACTACTGGCTCAACCTTTTTTTTTTTTTTGAAATGGATTTAGAGCTAAATATATATATAACTCAATTACACTTCTTACAGGGCAGAAATCATGTCTTAAATAACATATTATTTGACTCAGTACCTATCACTTAAGCCTTATGCATGGTAAACATGCAAAACAAGTATTAAAAATGAAAAAGTAACTTCTGTATACATTGCTTCTTACAGTAGTAAGCCATATTCATATGTTTTAAAAAATATATTAAGAATGTTAGTATAACAAGCTGTTCCTTTGCAGGCATATTCCACAGTTGGGACGCCAGATTACATTGCACCAGAGGTATTCATGCAGACTGGTTACAACAAATTGTGTGACTGGTGGTCTTTGGGAGTGATTATGTATGAAATGCTAATAGGTATGTCTTATCATTTATTTATATACATACCATATAAATTTCCTTGAGTGCTACTGATTGAACATATACAGATACCATGGGCTAACATATCAAAACTCTTAAACCAATTTCTGACACCCGCCCCCCCAATGTTAAATACACAGTGATAGATAGCAATGAGCTCTATAGGGATCTGGTTTCAGGAAGTGGGTATTTAATGGAGCTTCCATTTATCAAAATTGTATCTGCATGGTCTTTCAGGAAAAAGGGGGAGAAGGATGCTTTAAATCCTTTATTTTATTGACTTCATTAGGAATTTAATTATAAATTGATGACTGGTGGCATTTTTCTATTGTCAAGTAGAGCACTCAGACCTACTTTGGTTCTTGTGACACTTACGTAATGGGTTTAGCATATTTGATCATAAGAGCTGATAAAACTTTTTTTCTCTGATACATAGGATATCCACCTTTCTGCTCTGAAACACCTCAAGAAACATATAGAAAAGTGATGAACTGGAAAGAAACTCTGGTATTTCCTCTAGAGGTGCCTATATCTGAGAAAGCCAAGGATTTAATTCTTAGGTTAGTGGTTAAATTCCTAGAGGAGGTTGTCATATCTTAAAACTTCATAGGTACCCAAAAGACTAAATTGGCCATTTCACTTTTGTGGGAGGGAAAGGACTACCACTGATACATATAATCAAGGAGATCAATAAAAAGGTGTTGTTGTGTGTTTTGTGTGTGTGTGTGTGTTGTTTTTTTACCACTCTGGTGATACCAGAGAGATGAAATCACTTACCTAAGGTCACACATCATTGAGTGTTAAAGCCAAAAGCCACCTGACTTTCAATGACCAATAATTTTTACATTTCAGCTTTGTATTATTACAATCAATATCAAAGTTAGTTGTGTCTTAATTACACCAATCCATAGGTGTAAGATTTTTGTCCAATCTCTTGCTGCACCCCTCACATCCCCTTCCCCCCGAAAATTGTCAGGCCACCCCCTTTCTATGCCCCTGCTTCTATTATATTCACCAGTTTATTTTGACTTACTTTTTAGATTCACTTGTTGATAGATATTTATTTGTTGTCACTTTGTTGTTCATAACTTTTATCTTTACCTTTTTCTTCTTCAAATTCTTAAAGAATACTTTTCAGCATTTCATGTAATACTGGTTTGGTGGTGATGAACTCCTTTAGCTTTTTCTTATCTGTGAAGCTCTTTATCTGACCTTCAATTCTGAATGATAGCTTTGCTGGATAAAGTAACCTTGGTTGTAGGTTCTTGGCATTAATCACTTTGAATATTTCTTGCCACTCCCTTCTGGCCTGCAC